CAGTGGGAATGGGGATGAGAAAATTTCCTCCCCACCGGTGAGGACAAGGCGAGAATAGGGGGAGACTAATTTAACATTATAAAAAATGACGATAAATGGAGGAAAACCCTATCCACTTTGGCAAGGACAGGATACAATGGGGATGGGGACAGTAAGTGACTCCCTGCCCTACCACGCCCCATTGTCATTCCTAAATTCACTTATAAATAAATAGATTAAAACTCAACTGGATGTAAAATTTGTATCCGATTCAGATACATTGTAAACAGTCTCAGTGATTTCGTTTGGTAACAAGTGTCTGAAGTATTATATCTTAATTCAAGGAAAAAAAAGGGTAGGGATTATAGTTGATAAGGGCATCTTTTGGGTCTTATTATCAATAAAAATAATCTTTTTAAAATAATTTCTAGAATATGATATTTTTTTTAAATATCAAAAAAGGGTAGAAACACTGTTCATCTCCTTCCTCCTTCAAACCACCGAACAAATCTCCCCACCTTTGGTCTCTATCTTTTTCTTTCCTCCTTTCGATGGCCATGAAAGAATTTCATCGCCGCTTCCTAAACCCTTGGCCCTCCTTCGGATTCCATCAAAGCTTTAATCATCGCTTCTAGAGTTTGCTGAGCTTTGGAAGGTGGACGACTTGTTCATAAGCCAAACAGGCAGATTAGGGAGCGGGGTATAAGTCACTGATGGCAAAGCGAAGAGGGGACAATAGCAAACCACAGATTTATTGGTATGGTGTTTCATGTGTTCTTCTAATTGTTTCAAAAGAAGAACTCATAGCAAGCTTTGCTCCAAACTTAGATGCAGAGAAGAAGAAGGAGGAGGAGGAGGAGGAAAGAGGAAGACAGAGACTGGAGGTGGAGGTGGGGAGATTTATTCGGTGGTTTGAAGGAAGAAGAAGATGAACATTTTTACTTTTTTTGATATTTTTTTTAAAAAATTACCCTATTCTAGAAATTATGTTAAAAAGATTAATTTTATTGATAATAAGAACCAGAAATTGCCATTATTATAATCTCAAAAAGATATTGCAACAATGAGAATAGTACAGCTGAAGAATATAGGCTGCTTTGTCAAATTTAAGTAGAGGTCGTTTGTAGTAAAACACCCTATTTTAGAAACTTCAAATTGCATTTACAAAGTACGATATTGCATTGCCTTTTTTTACATAAATAGAAATTATGATTTATAAACAAACAAGATTTTTCCTCATTTATTTGGAAAAGAAAAACCTAATATGTAACTGATTTTTTCAACGCATTGAAAAAATCGCTCAAGTTACTCAAAATTGTAAATTTGTAATACTACAAAAAGCTGGTCGGTCTGTCCAGATTTTTTGTCAGCTATTGTACTTTCTGAGATTAATCTCAGATGAATCTTTGGATGCAATTGTTTTATCCACTAAAGGTGAACTTTTCTTAGGGTCCGTTTGTTGAGACATCTGCTCCTCACACAGAGCACCTTACACTCACATCCTATCATGTATTGAAAATTTCTCCCATACTTATAAATTATTATTGGAGATGTTTCCAATGCACGGTGGATGTGCTTGTGAGGCGCCCGTATATGGAGCAGATCTCATCTCCCGTTGAAGGGTTGAGTTGAATATTCAGTGGCTGTTTGGAAAAGTTTTCATACAGTGGCTTATAAGCTGTTTGGAAAAGTTTTCATAGCTGTGTGTGTCCAATCCACCTCCAAAAAAGTCAGAAGCCACTATGATTCTCAGCCTTCCCAAAGAACACTTAATGCATCATAGGCGTGCATTGAGAACATCTCCCATATATGACATTAATATCATGGGGTTATATTAGATAAGGGCAAGTTTTAGGCTCTAAATATATTTAATAAAATTTCAAAAATATGTTAATTTTTTAAAAATAATATCAAAATCACCATGCCAATTACCTCCTGGAGCATAATGGGTTCGGAATGTATCATTTACTTGATAACAACTGTGAGCACTTTGCGATCTACTGCTCGACGGGCTTGATCGCAAAGAATCCTCGTGAAATCGGACAGCAGGTTGGGGTGTCAATGGGCTTTCTTCAGAACCTCTTTTTAGGTCAGGTATTTATGATGGCCTTACGTGGTCTTGGCGACATTTACCAAATCAAAGAAGTGGAATCCCTCAAGGCCATTCTGCAGATTCTAATTGAACTAAGAGGTCARACGATTCGGGATGGTTTGGGGAGCAAACTTGTCGAGGAACTGGGGCTTCGGAGTAAGGTTGTAGATGTTGGGAAATGAGGTCACTGTAACTTTGGAGGAGAAGCTCTGAGGCTCGTCTGAAGACACTGTCTTTAGAACGTTATTTGCCCCCACTCAGTTTCACTAAGTTTGTTTTTGGGTTATAGGCAAATCCGTTCTTAGGATACAATAGAGCATTGGAAGAGAATCTACAACCAGCAAAGTTGAAGAATCTCTGAAGAAACCTTCTGTGAGACTGTAGCAGACCAGACTAAGAGAGAGAGAGAAAGTGTATTTCGAAAATGTGTGTTTTTGAAGTCTGATTCATGCTCCTTAAATAGTTTATGAAGAGGTATGAAGAAAAGGTACGTGCTGGTTCAGAGAAGGCACCTTGAATAGTCACAATTTCAAACATTGTGACTGTTTAAAAGGTAGAACTGTTAACTCTGAATTGTGCCTCTTAATCACACCCGATCGAATGGTGACCGTTGATCTCATCAATGGTGATCAATGGTCAGCATTGCACCAAAACCAAAGCCATCCTTCGCAAGCTACGCGGGTGCGAACAAAGTGCGAGCAAAGTGTGCCTCTAAAGCGCCTCATTGCGCCGCACACATGCGCGCACACGCGTGAGCATGCGTTGCACGGTATCAAACCCCCATACTCTCCTCTACTATTTCTAAGGAGTGTAAATCAGCTCCTATTAAAATACTGAAAACAAAGCTTATAATTTTCCAATGTGAAACAAGTTCAAAACTGGATTTGTAAGAGAAAAGCTAATTTTCCAATCAAGTGTGCAGGTGCAATTTCTCATGTAATTGACCAATCAAACCCATTGGATTTAATCTTTTATGAGATTTAAATCCAACAATAGATCATCTCAAACRTTTTATTAGTGGGAATGCCACCAACATGCATATTGCTCTTCCACATTGTTTGAAGTATGGTCTGAATGACTTTCTTCCATTGATTTTAATCTACGTTACCGCCCTCTACCCATCGAATATTGGAATTCACAAGGATGTTCATTCCGTTGACGTCGAGCAACTGGTTGTCGATCTAAACCTGGTGGACTCAAAAGCAGTAGTTGTCTTCAATGGGGTCGGAACCGACAGGGAGCAACATATTTTAAGGCAACGATGATTACATCATGGGGGAAGACGAATGTGATCTCCATCGAAGATTTATATTAGAAGAAGATGAACATACCTTTGCCCTTTTTGATATTATTTTTAAAAAGTAAACTTATTTTTAATATTTTATTAAATATATTATTTTTATTGTTATTAAGGCTCAAAAGTTGCCCTTATCTGATATAACCCCTAATATCATTCATGGGTAAATGGGAGCTGTGTCAACCTGGCTGTATCCTGTATGTTGTCAACTGCGGACAAGAGCTGATAGGTCACTAAGGGCCATGCGYTGGGAGCTCTGTCACGAAAACTGATTATGCCTAGGGGTGAGCAAAAAAACCGAAAAAACCGATTGAAACCGAATAAAAAATCAGTTAACCAAACCGGTCGGTTTGTTTTGGTTTGATATTCTTAAAAAGTCAATGGTTTTGGTTAACCATTTAATAAAACCGGCGGTTAACTGAACCGACCGATATATATATATTTTGAAAATCGAATATACACTTTCGGTAGTAGACTTTTCAGACTTTCTCTTTGAAAGTTTCAAAGAGAGAGAAATTTTCGGCCTTGCTAGAGTGCCACTGGAGACTATCAATCTCTCAGTCTTGAAAATCGAAAAGTTTCAAGCTTTAGCCCTTTCTTCTCTTTTGTGTCAGTGGCTTTCTTTCCACCAACGGTTTCTTCGAATCACACTCTCAATCTCTCACAATCTCACTCTCTCAGACTCTCAGTTTCTTCCCCAACAAACTAACGACCTCCGGTGTTCCGCCCTCCGACCGAATCACTGACAGCTGGCGTCTCCTCTCAGATTCAGCCTTCACTCTCTTGGACCGGTATCTGGCGTCTCACTCGACACTCATACTCACTGATCTCTCTCAATCTCTTCCCTTTCAGTCTCTTCTCTCAATCTCAGTCACTCATCTCTCTCAATCTCTCTCTCTCTCTCATCTCTCTCACTCTTAGTTCACAGTTCATTCACTCTCTTCAGACCATCGACAGGGAAGGTTTTTCCCCTTTTTTTTTAATATTGAGGGCATAAAAAAAACCAAAAAACCGAACTGCGGTTAACTGGTTGCATCSGTTTTGTTAAATTGAAAAACCAAACAATTCGGTTCGATTAACTGACTAATTATGCCAACTACTCATCTTTTGTTGGGAAGAAAGCCTTTTAACTGCGAGGGGTTATATATGCGTTAGCTTGAGAAACAGTCTTCATGGCACTACTCAGGGATGGCACGTTGGTGCACTTGATCAGCATAAGTGAGTTGAAAAGACCTAAACCGTAGATCGGGGCAGAAGTGGAAACGCGTGACAGAAGTATTTTCCCGAGTATTCCTCAGTTAGACGCCATTAGAGCCTCACTGAATCCCAAGAATAGCGAAGTAGTTTTAGCTTCTTAATAATGTTCCTCTTGTATTTCCGTGAATTTCGATCAGAATGATTAATGGATTTAAATTCCATTGTACTACCAAAATCCTCTATGGTGCATGCAAACAATCCTAAATAATTTGGACATATATCAGGAAATTCAGATTTTGATCATTGAGTACTGGTTTTAGCATTATTGGCACACTATAAGAAAATTACTTCCTATCCATCCACAGAAAGCAATTCAATTCATCAATCACCATGTTAATATCAATCAAAATCCAATTAAAAATCACATTAGCCGATTCGAAAGGTCAATGCTGGATTTATATATAGTTTGTACAAGTTTTTACATTTGGTTATCTTTTCTACTCTTTTGATTTCCTGTACTCACCTTAAACTCTGAAATGGTCTCAAGCTTAGGTGACCATGTCTGCTCTTTAGACCCAACCAACTGATCGTAGTGTTTCTGCAACTCAGGCGTGCTACATAGAAAGCTATGACTTGGGCTAGAACAATCCAGCTGTTCTTTTCCTCTCAAGATGAGTTTGGTTATGAATTCTGGCAACACTTTAATCAACACCCGCCCGTTTGAAGCCTTGACATATTCGAATGGCTGGTCACCAAAGTTGATGGGTGCAGGTTTATGACTCGAACCCAGAGCAGCCAGCGACGAAACTGATAAGACCTTGCATGCAAACCGATCAATTGGAAGAACAAAGTATGTTTCGCCAGTCATTAGTTCATCGTCGATTGCTAGTGCAGGTATGGGTTGGCCGATGTAGAAGGAATTGGCATGGCAGATTATCCTGTCAGGGAACTCAAACATGATTTCTCCGGCTAACCGCTTTCCGGTGAGAATTCTGGTGGTTCCTTCCCAGAAGACCACCTTCACCGTTGACTTCGAATTTGAACCCATGTGATGACAACAAGGAGTGATTGAGATTGCATTGCCCATGTTGGTGATCACCCTCAGAGACTGACAGACAAAGAGAGAGAGAGATGAGACGATCAGAACAGAACTCAGAAGAGAAGCATGCAGCAGCAGTTGGGTTGGAAGGGAGGAGACTTGGTTATATAGAAAGAAGGGTGGATGGTGCTCTGACTTCATGAACAGTCGAGGTTCATTTTTTGTACTAGTTCTAGGGTCGGTGGTCAGCCAAGCCGGCGTTCAACAACTTGTAAAGCGGGGATCTCTACAGCCCTCGTTAGGTTCGATTATTAAATTACAGTGCAACAACTAAGAATCCCCCGCTAACTCTTTCAAATTCAGACTAAGTAATTAAATCAATTACTAAATCTTTGTCAAAACTACAACATGATGTTTTTAGTCCTTTTTTTTCAATTTTAATTTGTATATATAGTCGGGTTTTGTTTTGGTAAAGTTGTTTATATTTGGATTCGAATCCAAATTGTAATTGGATATTGAATAACATTAATGAATGAAACTGAAATTAGTAATAAGGGATCCGGTTCCTAAGTTGAATAGTCTGACCGTTTGAACCAAATAGATGACCTATTTTGACAAAAAAATAAAATAAAAACTGGCCAAACTATTGAACAGTTTGACCATCCGAGTCAGCAGTTTGCTGACCAAATCAACGGCTTTGAGGGAAATAATGGTTCTGGGGTAAAACGGAACCAATCACTTGACTGATTCCCAATATTTCCGGTCCAGCCATCCGGTTCAGTTCAGTTTTAAAAACCATGGTTTGACCAATCAAATTCCTCACATAAATTTTGAAAAATGTCACCTGATTGGTTATATGATACTTGTTGATTGGTTGCAAGTTTTTTTTTTTTATTGTCAAACCCAATTAATAAAATGAATTGAAAATCACTTCAATATTATCATGTATTATACACCTATCCAAGTAAAAAGTAAAGATATATCATAGTGGTGTAAAGTCATGAATGAATGAATTTTAGGCATGTCTCTTTGACCTTGACCACGCATCGATATCCTAATTAGGATCTGGTCTAATTGGATGGTTGGAGATTAGCTATACTTTTGTTTTATATAGAGTTGACCCTACACCTTAACTTGCTAATCCAATATAATATGCATGGTCGTATTCCATGTCAATCAGGCCATCACAACACCCACATTCTCCAAGCAAAGAGTTCTCCTTTCTTTCTTCATTTCTTAAACAAGTTTCTTTGGGATCATTTCTAATGGTGGTTTCAAGCCAATAAATTTAAAGTGATCTCAATGTGCACGTTTTGTTTTTGCTTGGTGTAATGGTAAAATCAAGGTTTTTAAAACTAATCTGGAGACTAAATCGGTCAGGATTCGGTTCTTGGGTCGAATGGTCTAATTGTTCAAATCGAACGATTGGCCCGTACCGACAAAAAATAAAAAAAAATAAAAAATAAAAAATAAAAAATGGTCAAAACCATTCGAACGGTTTGACCATTCGGGTCAACAGTTTGCTGACCAAATCAACGGTTTTTTGCAAAGATCTGGTTTTGGAGAAAAACAGAACCAATCACCTAACCGATTTCCAGTTTTTCCGATTCGGTCTGACCGTCCAATCCAGTCTGATTTTGAAAACCATGGGTAAACTTCCGAGAAAGAGAAAAAAAAAAGGCTTTTAAACCGTATTCAGTCCAATCCTCCCAAGACTCGAGATAATTGGGACCAATATTGAATAATGTTCTTTAAACCACAATTAAAATTCATTTGAATTGTATAAATACATTTTGCATATTGTATTTATGCAATATGCATTTATATATAGATCCAGCAATTGATCCCACTAATACTTAAGAAGATCCAGATGAAGCAGGTGTAAATTCCTAAATCTTGACCCAAATCACTAGTCCAAGCAGTTTTCTAGGCGTGGTTAGGCTCTTGGTTAATGGCCGAGTCAACAGTTTCTAACCCTTCAGAGATTCAAAATTAATTGTGAATTTGCTGCTCAGATTGGCATTGGAGGTAATGACCGTATCAGATTGTTGGACCACGTCTGAGATTGCGTATATTAAGCGCTAATACAACTTGCTACGCTTATCCCAACTTTTGGTCAGTCATTTGACGGGCCCATAAATCAATTTACGTATACAGAACAAGGTTTGTATCGTGTTGGTGATTTCCTGATACGTCCTTAAAGGATTATATCGGGTCATATCATGGTTCAAAGGGCAGTTGGGATTTAAATCAATTCCTTTGAATCGGTTTTAAAAAATAAATAAATAAAACATAAAAAAAATACCGATATAGGCCGATACACCCTACCAGCGTATCGGCCTGTATCCATACTTTGAACCTTAATACAGAATACAGTGGGAGGTCTGAGAGTTAATGAGTTTCAACGATAATAACCTTATAACTTCCATTATTAGTTCACGAGAAACAGCAGTACTTCCATTGCTTATAAATAATCTCTACCTATTAATTTCTAATTGATCCCAGTGTTCTAAGACTGGGACTAGACTGGATGGTTGAACCAAGCTGTATCAGGTGTTTTATATTTCGATTCCATGGACCCATTTTTTTTTTCAAAATCTGTTGAGAGGGGTCGATCTAAGGCTTCTCTACCCCGTCAAAACATGTGTTGGTCCGTTATTGCCGATACTTATGCGTTGGCCCGTTATTGCCAAAATTTTGAACGTTGGGTTGAATGGGTGACCCGCTAACCTTTCTAGGTTCCTGTCGAATAAGGGTTTGAACTTTGAACAGACTAACAGCCCAGTTAAGTGGTAACCGTGACCCACTTAGAATTCTGCTTTATGTTCGACCCAAGTCTACAAATTATAAGAAAACTGGATTGAGCAGTGTTTCATAATATAATAACTCTATAAGGTTGCGTTTGGAAGTGGTGCAAAATGTCATTGATGAGGTTTTACACCAAACCGTAAAAAAATTATCGTTGAGCTTCGAAAAGCATGGAGTTTTTACATCAGTTTTATCAACGTAGTATTTAGATCGATAATTGATGTAAAACTTTAATTTTGATGAGGTTTTACATCAATTTATGACATAAAACTCCACTCCATCCAAACCTTGACAAATCTAAACCGAAGTGGAGTTTTATATCAATCTTGATTTACACTCCATCTAAACGCCGATAAAACCAAACCGACATAAGCTTTTACATCGATGACGTTTTACATCGCTTTTAAACACAGCCTAAGAGATTCAAAGAATTTATAGAAAACAAGAAAATATATGCATGAATATATATACAACGTACAAAATTTACCGTTAAACATGCTAATTTTTCTACTAAGGCTCTATTTATTAATTTGTACTGTTAAGTTCATTTGCATTGGTGTAAATGCATAAGAGTGTAAATGGGCTGGTGTAAATCCTGATTTACTTTTGTTTCAATTTGACTTTGTTTTGTTTATTTTAAGAATAGGAAGTAAGATGATATAGTTCCAACTTTAAATGAAAGAGAACCAATGCTGGCCGGCCAAAGATTATTTGTTTGTGAGGAACGCGGTAGGAAGGAATAATTGATGTGATCTCTCATTTATATGGGAAAGAACTAAGGTAGAAGGAAAGTGGAGTAAAATTTGCATCAATATTTTATCTGCAAAATTTGGACTGCCAATCAATACACAAATGAGACAAAAAAAAAAAAAAACGAAAATTTTGCATCAAAGGTGCAAATTATAATTACAAACAAATGGAGCCTAATGGATTAAAATTAGAATTATGCATTGTGTGGCCCCAATTCAGGGCGGGTAGAGAGTGAGTAGGAAATCCCGAATGTGCTCGATTTTCAAAGAATTATCACAATGAAAAATGAAGAGAAAGAGAGAGAAGGGAAATGAAAGATAGATTTAGACATTTTCCCGATTGGTCAAGGTATGGATTTCTAGATATATGATTTCACAAATTAAGCTCTTTCATAGCAATGTGCCGAGTCATTGAAGAGGGTACACCTTTTTCAATTATACATGGGTTGTCTATTAATTATTATAATTATCTATAACAACTTTTATTTGTTTATTGGAGTTAGTAAGGACTAACAAGGTTTTTCAAATCGAATTGGACAATGAATCAGTCAAGGGTCCAGTTCCTGGGTTGAATGGTCTAATCGTTCGAATCGAATGAATGACCTGTTTTGACAAAATAACTGTTTTAGGGTAAAATGGAACCGGTCACCTGTTCAATTCCCGGTTTTTCCGATCCAATTCGGTTTTAAAAATCATGAGGACCAGTATTTGCTCTATTTTTTCTATAATTTATCATCGCCAGATTTTTATAGTTTAGACAAAATAATTCAATTAAAATAGGATAGAATGTCTCTTAATATGGTTTCGTCTTCTTAATTGGATACAGTATAATCTTCACGACTATGTAATAAAGTAAGATAGAAGTATATGCATATGAAACAAAAAAGAAGCATAGACTAAAATGTTATACAAAAAAGTATAACAAGTCCAAAGAGGAAGAAAATTGATAGGTTATATGATTCCAATAATTCGTCAATTCATATGCCCATGATCTAATCTATGTGCTCTTGATTACTATATAACAAAAATAAATAAATAGTGGCATTAATTATTATCTTTAATTTCAAAAATTATTTAGGAGTAGAACATTTGGAATTTGAGTTGGGGTATGATCTCTACAGTTCATTTGTAGAAAAGTGAAGAACTGAAATTGGAGAACCCATGCTGCTTAATAATCCCCTTAAGCATATGTTTCACAGGATTATTTACCCAAGGCATACTTTTAAAATTAACCTTTAATCCTAATTGATTACAGAATACTGTTAATTAAAATATTTGCTATTTTAGAATCAATAAATATATACAAATACTCTTCTTCATAGTTGATTATAAATGAACAATGGATCCAAGATCCATGAAAATCTGTTTGCAGGTGTACAAGGCTACAATATTCTTGTCTTTGAGTTCAATTGAGGTTTTGTTTGGATCCGGTGTAAAATGTCATCAGTGTAAAAGTATACTAATGACGTTTTACATTGAACCGTATAATAGGTGACTGTTACATTTTGAAAACCGTGATAAGAAAGTATAAAATTTTACATTGATAAAATCGATGTAGTATTTACATTGATTATCGATGTAAAACTTTATG